CCCTCCGGCTCAAATGTAAAGGCAGGGGGATTTGTTGCGGCATCCCCATCGAGGCCGTGATAAAGCGGCGATTCTTCGAACTCAATGGTGAAGGGTTTTGTGCTGACGGCCTCGGGGGGCGGATGAAAATCATACATGGGGTCGTTTTCAATAGAAACCAAATCCACAACTGGCGGTGTGCCCAAATCCATTGCTGCGTCATGCACGTCCTTGAAGAACGTGGCGTACTCACTACTGCCGCCCACCCCCACCGCCCCGGTGTCTTCCTCCGCTGTGGCGCCAAAGTTAAACTCATGGACTTTAGACGTGTCCTTTTTATGCTCCGACACTGCCGACGGGGCAAACATATCGCTTTTAAGATCGGAGATGAACGGATCCACGTGTTTTTCAGCGTCTTTGTCGGTCTTCGAGAAGGTGGTGGATTCATTCCGCCCTTTTTTGGTCGCAGAGCCGCCAAAGTCCCCCACCGATGGGAGTCCCGTGGCCCCAAATAAATCCACCTGCTGCTGCGGCTGCCGACTCGGTGGCCCCTCCATCTCACTCGAAACCTCCGATCGCACGGGAGGGGCGGAAACCTTGGCCACATTTGACAACGCCTCCACGAGTTGGCCGCGCTCCTCGGAACTCAGGACTTTCGGAGTGCTTTTCTCCTGCTTCGCTTCTTGTGATGGCGCATCCGCCGCAAAAAGAGCCGCGAGGTCAGTTTGAATGTCTTCCAACGGCGGGTTTTTGCTGCGTGCCCACTTCAACACGTGCATGCTGGCGACGTTCATCATGCGGCGTACCTGCTCCCGAAGTTTTGCCTCTTCTTCCGTAAGGACGCGAAGTCGTTGGCGGATGTCGTGCACCTCGCGACCAATCGGCGTGCCGTCATGGCCTTTGCCGCGGATCGTTTCCTCCAGAGCCGTGCGCGTCTTCAGCAGCAACTGAATTTGCGACTGAAGGGCTTCCATTTTATTTGTGATGCCGCACAATTCGTCCTTCATATCAGTCCTATTCTGCTGTCGTCCAAGGGACAGCTGCTCCTCCTCCAGCTTCCGCACTTGGCCTGACAAAGTGTCGATGCGGGCGTTGATGCGTTGCAGCCGTTCTCGTGCCCCTTCTGCGTCAGGTGACGCCTCCTCAGAGATGTCGGCGGTGAGCGGGAGTCCACTCGTGACGGCTAGTTGACGGAGATAGGCGGCAACTTCCCCCGCGTAGTTGGCGCGATACTTACGGGAGAGGGCAAGAAATTGCGCCGCCACCACATCCTCCGCGCGTTTCTTCACCACTGCGGTAGCCATCCCATCTACGCCGGTGAGTGAACGGCGCCGTTCCTCCAGCTCCGCCAGGCACCGCTCCAAATTGGACGGTTCTTTTCCCTTCGGTTCCTCCTTGCGGCGGCGCTCAAGCATGGCTTCGAGAGATATCAGCAGCGTCATCGCCTCCCCGCGGGTCATCCGCTTGAACTCCCCATTTTTCGTCTTACTCCTTTGGCCGTCGCTCCCGGTCGTGGAGGCAATGTCGCCGAATGAGAGCGCCGGGTGATTTGCGGGGTACACGAGGAGCGCAACCACCATCTGGGCGGATGCTCCATACACGCTGAAAATCACACGCCGACGTGCAGATGCGGTGATGCTGTGCAGCCCAAGCAATTCTGCGCAGTCAAGCTGTGTCTCCCCAATCATTTTTCGGGGCCGACCACGTATATACTCCTCCAGGCGGAAGGTGATCCACTTTGGAAGGAACCTCGCTCCACCGCTCTTGAAATGAACAATGGCCGCCCCCTCAGGCATTGTACTGAAGTCGACGGCACCTCCCTCCGCGATGTAACAGGGCGTGGAACGGGATGTCTCGCCGCGGCGGTACGAAATGGTGTACTGTCTGCCATCCACCAACGCGGCAGACTCCACCTTCAATACCTTAAAACGAACAATATATGATTCTGGCATCTGTTGAGAGGAATCGCCTGCGGTAAGTGTGTAGTGTTTGTGTAGTGTGTGGGAGAGAGCACCGCCGCAGTGGGGAGGGGGGAGGGGGGAAGTGATCGCCCAGACTGCTTACGACACACACACTCTCTCTTTCCCTGTTGATTGACTCCCTCTGCGTCCTTTTTTTTTTTTCTTCTTTTGGCCGCAGAACAACACAACTGTGCCGTGCACCTCCGCGTGGCTCCCTCTTTTCTTTTCTTTTTTTTTCTCTCGATTGTTTGTGTTTATTCCTCCTCCTTTTGGTGCCGGCGGAGCAGCAGAAAACAAACAAACACAAAAAAAGAGAAGAGAAGAGAAAAAACAAATGTGGACAACACCGGCGTGTGCGCCTGGCGTTCTGCGCACTCACGTCAAAAACGTGTTTTCTCTCCATTTCATTTCATTTCATTTTTTTTTTTTGCTGCCGCCGCGGGTAGGGGGGTGGGGAAAAGAAGAAGAAGAAAACAAAAACCAAAAGGGAGGGAGACGCACTACGCCCAGCAGCGGGAATATCCCATTCAGAAGAACAAAACAAAAAAAAAAGAAAAAAATGCCACCTCTTCGGCCCGACTTCTTTTCCATCCCTCCCTCCCTCCCTCCCCTCCCTCTTCCCCCACTCGTTTGCCTTTATTTTTTGGCTGCCTTCCAACTGCGTCATATCCCGCCGAAATGCATCCACACACACACACACACACAGAGAGAGAGAGAGAGAGAGGCAGAGAGGTGGGCGGGTCGGCTGAAGGGCTCCACACTTTTGAGAGACGTAAAAAAAAAAAAAAAAAAAAAGACGCACAAAGACAAGAAAACACCACCACCAATAATAATAATAACAAAAGAGGGAAAGGGCAGCTGAAGAAGAAAACACACACACACAC